CACATTGTTAAAAAAATACATTTGGCCCCCAAACATTTGGCGCCCCCGAGAAGGTTTTACATTTTTTAAAAGGAAAATTGGGACGCCCAAGAAGGTTTCACATCCTTAAAAAAATTCATTTGAAGCCCTCCAGAAAGCTTTACATTTTTAAAAAAATGCATTTGGCCCCTCAAACATTTGGCGCCCCCCAGAAGGTTTTACATTTTCAAAAAAGTTGTTTGGGACCCCCGACAAGGTTTTACATTAAAAAAAAAACAATTGGGACCCCTTAGAAGATTTTACATTCTTAAAATAATACATTTGGCCCCTCAAACATTTGGCGCCCCCGAGAAGGTTTTACATTTTTACAAAGGCCAATTGGGACCCCCAAGAACGTTTCACATCCTTCATAAAAGATATTTGGCGCCCTCGAGAAGGTTTTACATTTTTAAAAAACGCAGTTGGGAACCCTGAGAAGGTTTCACATTCTAAAAAAAACCCTTGGCGCCCCCGAGAAGGTTTTCCAATTTTAAAAAAGACAAGTGGGAACCCCGAGAAGATTTCACATTGTTAAAAAAAATACATTTAGCGTCCCCGAGAAGGTTTTCCTATTTTAAAAGAGACAAGTGGGACCCTCTAGAAGTTTTCACGTTCTTAAAATAATAGATTTGGCCCATCACACATTTGGCGCCCCCGAGAAGGTTTTACATTTTTAAAAAGGACAATTGGGACGCCCAAGAAGGTTTCACATCCTTAAAAAAATTCATTTGAAGCCCCCCAAAAAATTTTACATTTTTAAAAACGACATTTAGGGCCCCTGAGAAGGTTTTACATTAAAAAAAAAACAAGTGGGAAACCCGAGAATGTCTCACATTCTTAAAAAATACATTTGGCCCCCAAACATTTGGCGCCCCCGAGAAGGTTTTACATTTTTTAAATGGACAATTGGGACGCCCAAGAAAGTTTCACATCCTTAAAAAAATTGATTTGAAGCCCCACAGAAAGTTTTACATTTTTAAAAACGAAATTTAGAGCCCCCGAGATGGTTTTACATTAAAAAAAAAAACAAGTGGGGACCCCGAAAAGGTTTCACATTCTTAAAAAAATACATTTGGCGCCCCCAAGAAGGTTTTACATTTTTAAAAAAGACAGTTAACACCCTCGAGAAGGTATTACATTCTAAAAAAACATTTTGTACCCCCGAGAAGGTTTTACGAGTACAATTTAAAAAAAATCAATTGCGACAGTTGTATAAAAAAAATTAAAGTACAATGTGTAATTTACCAACTAAAATAACAAGTAAATATTTTAATTGCTAGAGCAGTATTTATAACTTATTCGATTTAAAATACAAATTACTGTCCAATCATAGCGTTATCGCCTTTGGTATCTTTATCCATATCATTTAATACAGTTATTAGTGGTCTATGGTGATTAAAATGAGTGATATAAATATTAGTTCTTAAATGAGTAATAAAGCGTGTGAAAATCGCATCAATTTTTGTACATTTTACAATTTAGTCGTTGGAACAAGGAACAGTCAAACGAACACATTTTATTAAATAAATAGTTGTGGACCGTAGCGCCCTGTCGATCACACCCACGCCACTCTCGCGCTCCCGCTCCACTCGGCCCAACCTCGCTCGAGTCGGTAGTCTGGATGCAAGAATAATTTGTCAATCAACTTCAGCACTCAGACCGAGTTTCGGGAGTTATCTGTGCATCACTTCTGGATCCTGAGGGTCATTGTGGACTAGATACTCTTTGAATTCTGGCAGTGGGTGTAGGTTGTTTTCTGAAAGAGCATCCTGGGGGACCTAAGAGACGGAATCAGCACCACTCTCTGAGGTGTTTCATGTATATATTGTTTGATAGTTTATTTCTCTCTCTCTCACAGCGTTACATGCCGATGTTCAGACTTAATTCAGACTAGTCTCGATGACCTCGACACCGACACCAACACCCACATCATTTGCTTTGATTGAAAAATGATTTGATTTTGCGAATTTCATCGTTTTTTATGGCAACCATTATAATATAAAATAAAAATATGTGTCTAATGTTTGAGTAAAGGTAAAGAAACGTGCTAACCGTTTGTTACTTTTACTGTTAGTGACTTTTTCTATTAAAAAATTTTGTGTTGATGCCGTCCACATTTTTGCAAGGACGCATATATATCAGTTTGTATGCATGTATTGTAATACTAATCATGAAAGTATTGTATTATTGTTTTTATAGAATATTGATTTATAATCAATAAAATAACGAAACAATTTAATCACGGCTGCCGTATGTAATAACAGAGGTGCGACTGAAGACTGAACTGAAAATCATTTATGGTACTCATAATTTAAGACAAATACTTATCAACCTGTAGACGTGAGAGTGAAACAGAGACTAAACTAAAAGATGTTTTCTACTAATTGCAATAACCGGATCACAATGCCGACGGTCCAGACTTTTTTATTGCTCTGACTTCTGCTTATTGAATAAAAAACTACATTTGGTTAATTATAACTTGTCTAGATCTAGAGGAGGTTCAGTATCCCCTAGCCTCCCCCTAACTATGGCCTTGTCTAGGGGTTATGAAATGTCGAGAAAATATGAAAGTACTAAATTGCCCGACGGACTCCATTAGTGTACACGTCCTTAGGTTATCCTCGATAAGGAAAATAAGTTGAAAGTGTTTATGTTTATACATCGGAAGAATGTCACGTAGAAATTAGTTTGATCTGAATGAGTTCGTCCCCTCAGAACAGAGGATCAAAACTATTAAGTAGTAAGCTACAATCGACAAATGTTCTGAATATCATTATTATAACTCTTATTAAATGAAGACGATTGTATTTTCACATTTCGGGAAAATGGGGTGACTCGTTCTTAATTTGATTCGTCCGAAGAACTCGATTACTAACTTAATTAGCTCGGGAAGTAAAAAGTTATGGAAATAAGCATTTTTTTATTTACTGATGGGAGAAAACTTCAAATGACAATGATATAAAAACCATAAAAATAGACATTAATGTTTGAAAATACAAAAAAAAATACTAATAAGACATTCATTAAAATTTTTCTAAATATTTAATTGAAAATGATAATTTACAGACCTAAAGTAAACTTAATTCTTAATAAATTGGGATTATCTATATAATCATTAACGAGTCCATGAAGAACACAAACACCATACATTTCCCGTTGTCCCATGAATGACAACATGTATTTCAAAATTATACTTAATCCATGTAAGGTATAATCTCCCTTTTGACTTTAACCCGATGCAGTTGAACTCCTACAGTCGTAGAAATTTTTTCTTGGCTTTTTCCAAAACGAAAGCGTCTGGAGAGAAAGAGTAAAAGTATTCGGGTCTAGCAAATGTGTCGAGGTCATCTTAGATTTTTTTCGGGGTAGCTCTACTCCAAGTAGCGCTTCATTCAAAAATCGCCTAATTTAATGAAAGTATCGCCTCTACTCGAACAAGTTTGTTTACACACTCGCCCTTGTATCAACATAATTAACAAGTGGTGGTGAAGTGGTCGGAGCAGATGCCCCGTATGCACTTCAACCACAACAATAACACACGACCGAAATGGATACTCTGTGTCTATTCGAGTGGCTTTGCAAAAGCGACGGTTATATAACCGACAACGAAAAAATACGCTTGTAGATACAGGTCCGATAATGTTTCCACGTCAGTCCGATTCGACGAATTAAGCCTGCATGTCCGAAAGGGTTTAACACGTGTTTACAATGGATCACGTGTCCAGCTAAACTTCACAACGACTCTGGTCATCTGAGTTTAATTGGCGCCCTTTGGAGATTTTATCAATTGAAGAATTGGGCAGAGTGGACACGTAATTCGAGACGAAAACCAATTAGAACTGGAATTTTGCGTCCGGGTTCGAACACGTACATTTGCCTTCAGGCAACTCATAAATGTTGGATGCTCACCCAAAAGTACCCCGTTTTCATGCGAATTGTTGAGTCTCCCAAAGAATCACACCTCGCCCTCGCAGGTACCAGTGTCCACGTCTCGCTCATTACTCTTCTCTAGTGGTTGCGGTTAATGGACGGATTAAGCTCCACCAAATCCCGCACGTAGTCCATTGTGCGCTTGTTTATTGTACACAGCTAAGCCCGGTCCTGCTTTTAACTCAATTATCTTGAAACTCGAGCCTTTTCGTGTCTTAATCTGCACACGCCATGTCCAGCACACGCCGATTTCTATAGAAAATCGCCAACTAATGGACGCCGGTCATCTTTTCAAAGCGAAATTTTATTAAAGATATTTTTTTCCTTTTTTCGGGTCCACAATGCGCGAAACACGATATTTAGACCGTGCGGATCGGTTTCACTAATTACTTTGGCTAGCAGACTTAAAGGGTGCCAAGAATGGCACTTGAAATTTCTCGCTCGATTAAATAAGTAGCTTAGCGAAATCCTCTTCAAGCCACCAAGGTGTCTCCGACAAAAATAACTCACGTAAACCGATTATTACAACCCAATCGTTCCAGGGCAACAAGGAAGCGTAATAACTCGATTCGGTTTCTGTGAAAAAATTCGAACGGCTCGCGTCCAGTGGCGTGCATATCAATTCGTGTCCTAATCACGCTCTTAATTATATGTAATTTAAACTAATCAAGTTGTCTGCGTCCGAAATGGCCGACATGCATTTCTAGTTAGGATTTTAATTGAGATAATAACGGCGGGCGAATTAAAAACGCCTCGTTCCATTGTCGAAATCCGGATGGTTTCTGGACCAATTTATTTAAATGGCTTGGGAAAAGCAATAAGCATTTTTACTCAGCGGCGGAGTTGTTCGGAAGCGGCGGGATAGCGCCCCCTGGCGGAGCGCGGGGGCCTCATGCCGATCGGAACAATAACACTGTATATATTGTGATCTGTTTTAAATGTGTACAAAGACGCGGCTCGGTGGGAGGCACTGGCTGTTGACTACTTGATGTATAACTTAATTTGGTTTGACGGGATCGGGCTCCTTCGGGATGAAAAAAAAAACATTGACACGAAATTTAGCTATTTTTTTTATGGATACGGATAGCGAGGACAGTCTTCTAGTTTGATGCACCTTGTAGAACCGCCTGTGAGGATGTAGCCTTCGGCGCAGAAACACCCTTGGGAGCAGCGGACCGCTGGGCAAGATAGTGATGGGTTGTCACATGTAGGAGGACAAGAGCTGCCACATATATCGAATTTTTCGTTCTCTCTACAAGCACTTCCGCAATCCGAGGTTGGTATACATTTCCCGTTTAAGTTTTCTCGGACGTAACCCTTTTCGCAGAAACATCCACGTATGCACCACCCGTCTAGACACATTTGAGGGCTTTGGACTAGACAAGTCAGTGGGCAGTAGGTTCCACATTCGTCGTAAATTTCGTTGGGTCCGCAAGTGGGGGTGTCTAAAGATATTTATTATCAGTACGAAAATTAATGGTATAAACTCACCCAGAAGGACAGGTGTTGCCCAAAACGCCAAGAGAATTATTGATATCATGGTTATGCGATATAATCACTTTGAAACAAAAATGTCTGGCAATTCATTTTATAGCTTTTAACTGATCGAAGATAATTGCATCTGCGTTGTTTGAAAGTGATTAAATTTTAATCCGTTGATTCCATGATTAGATTATACAAAAGTAAAATTTTTTCCATGATTTACAACTTTTTGTACGAATAAAATACAACGTATCATTTACAAGTCAAGTTTTCTGAAACGTCAGAATTTTGAATGGTGCAATTAAACAGCATGCAATTAAGTGTATAAGTACAAGACGGTTCCATTAAAGAATTCAAAAATGTGTTGCTACCCTTTTTTATTCAACTTTTTGTTCGCGTCAAGTTTGTTGACGTCGTTTTGCATTTAGCAAATTTTATTACGTCTTCATTTCCAGCAGATCTTTTACGTATTATATCTTCTGTACAAGAATTCTGTTCCGTAAATATACATATTATTACTCCCCGAACGTGAGCTAAGGAAGTAGAGTAATCGAGTCCATCGGACGAATGGCCACTCTTATATTTTCTCGACGTTTTATGATCCCTAAAGTACGAAAAAAATACGATTCCCTTTCCGTCTGTCTGTCTATCTGGTGTCTAAATCCATTTTTATTAGACACGTTAAAGGCTAACTAAAATTTGTCTAATCATCTCCACCAAAAACCTGATCACATCCGTGCAAAATTTTGTATAATCAATATGGTCTCCGATTTCCGTCTGTCTTGGCGGGGCGAGTACTTGCTACGATAAGACTGATTTTCGCAAATCACATAGCTTCCAAGAAAATAGAGGGTGGGTGGGCGGGGCTAATATTTATTCAGTTCAAACTGATTTTGGCACTTTTGACATTTTCGACCATTTTTCAGCCATTTCCGAAAATTAGTTGGACATTCTCTGAACATAATAAGCCCCACCCACCCACCCGGTTTCCTTTTCAGTGATTTATTTTATCCGAAATGAATGAAATGAAGGATCTTATACTGAAAAGAAATAAAATTAGTCGTAAGAATGAGAAGAGGGGAGGGGGGTGGGCGGGGCTAGTACTTGCTAAGATAAGACTGATTTTGGCAAATAATATACCTTCCAAGAAAATAGAGGGAGGGTGGGCGGGCGGGGCTAATATTTGATAAGTTGAAACTTATTTTGGCACTTATGACATTTTCGACCAGTTTTCAGCCATTTCCGAAAATTAGTTGAACATTCTCTGAACATAATAAGCCCCACCCACGCACCCGGTCTCCTTTTCAGTGATTTATTTTATCCGAAATGAATGAAATTAATGTCTTATACTGAAAAGAAATAAACTTAGTCGTAAGAATGAGAAGAGGGGGTGTGGTGGGTGGGCGGGGCTACTACTTGCGAGGATAAGACTGATTTTGGCAAATCACATAGCTTCCAAGAAAATAGAGGGTGGGTGGGCGGGGCTAATATTTGTTCAGTTCAAACTCGTTTTGGCACTTTTGCCATTTTCGACCATTTTTCAGCCATTTCCAAAAATTAGTTGGACATTCTCTGAACATAATAAGCCCCGCCCACCCACCCGGTCTCCTTTTCAGTGATTTATTTTATGCGAAATGAATTATCTTATACTGAAAAGAAATAAAATTAGTCGTAAGAATGAGAAGAGGGGGGGATGGGCGGGGCTAGTACTTGCTACGATAAGACTGATTTTGGCAAATCACATAGCTTCCAAGAAAATAGAGGGTGGGTGGGCGGGGCTAATATTTGTTCAGTTCAAACTGATTTTGGCACTTTTGACATTTTCGATCATTTTTCAGCCATTTCCGAAAATTAGTTGGACATTCTCTGAACATAATAAGCCCCACCCACCCACCCGGTCTTCTTTTCAGTGATTGCTTTTATCCGAAATTAATGATTTTGTACTGACAAGAAATAAAATTAGTCGTTAGAATGAAAATAAGATAATCTTCACAGTTTTCCGTTCTTCCTACAATTTTTGATCCTGCAATTTTTTATTTTTCAATTTTTTTAATTTTTCAATTTTTCAGTTTCTCGATATTATAATTTTACATTTTTCAGTTTCCCAATTTTTAATTTTTCGATTTTTCAATTTTTCATTTCTCAATTTTTTTAATTTTCATTTTCTCGTTTTTATATAACTACTTTTCTTTTTCCATTTTCTTTATTTTTCCATTTTTTCTTTGGCATTTACAATTTTTCGTTTATTCAATTTTTCAGATTTTCAATCTTTGACAGTTCCTCGATTTTCCAATTTTAAAATTTTTCAATTTAGGATACTTTGAATTTCTCAGTTATCCGATTTTCCGATTTCATTATTTTTCAATAATTCGTTTTTTTGATTTTGTACTTTTTCGACAATTTTTAGATTTTTAAAATGTTCAAGTTATACTTTTTTATTTTTTCATTTCTTGATTTCTCAATTTTGCAATTTTTCCATTTTTTTGATGCGAAAAGATGAAAAGTCGAAAAATTAAAAATCAATAAACTAAAAAATCGGAAAACACTGACAAATCAAACAACCCAAAGATTAAAATCGAAGAGTGGAAAATCGAAAAATTGCAAAACCCAAAAATTGTAACATCGGAAAATTACAGAATCATCAAAATTGTAAAATCGAAAAACTGTAATGCATAAAGATGGAAAAATTGAAAAATTTAAAAATGAATACTCGAAGAGATGCATATTGAAGAAACAAAAAAAATGGAAAATCTAAAAATCCAAAACTTGAAAAATTGAAAATACGAAAAATTCAAAAATAAAAATTTCAAGAATATAATGTGAAACTGGAGAAACAAAAAAAAAGGGAAAAATTGAAAAACTGCAAATCGTTAAATTCAAAAAATTGAAATTGAAAAAACAAAAATTTATAAAAATCGTAACAGAAAAATCGAAAAACTGTAAAAATAAAGAAAAAAAAAACCGAAATGAGAAGTTACAAATCGAAAATTTGGAATTGAAAATTGAAGAATCGAAAAAATTGAAAAAATACAAAAATCGAGTCCATCGGGCGACTAGCTACTTTTATGTTTTCTCGACGTTTCATGACCACGAGAGTACGAAAAATAGGTCTACGGTTTCCGTTTCTCTGACTGTCTATAACATAATCTTCACAGTTTTTCGTTCTTCTTATTTCTTCGACTTTACAATTTTAATATTGCAATTTTTGTTTTTAATTTATTGTATTTTAATTAAAAATCACTAAACTAAAAAATCGGAAAACACTGAAAAATCAAACAAGCGAAAGATCAAAATCGAAGAGTGGAAAACCGAAAAATTTCAAAATCCAAAAATTGTAAAACCGGAAAATTACAGAATCATCAAAATTGTAAAATCGAAAAACTGTAATACATAAAGATGGAAAAATTGAAAAATTTAAAAACGAAAAATTGCAAATCGAAAAACTGTAAAATTAAAAAATTTAAACATCCAAAAGTCGGAAAAAACTCAAAAATTTAAAAATGAATACTCGAAGAGATGCATATCGAAGAAACAAAAAAAAATTGAAAATCTAAAAATCTACAACTTGAAAAATTAAAAATCCGAAAAATTTAAAAATGAAAATTTCAAGAGTAGCATGTCGTGAATCTGAAGAAACAAAAAAAGCGAAAAATTGAAAAATTACTAATCTGTAAATTAAAAAAATTGAAATTGGAAACAGAAAAATCGAAAAATTGTAAAAATAAAGAAAATAAAAACCGAAATGAGAAATTACAAATCGAAAATTTCAGGAATTGAAAATTGAAGAATCGAAAAATTGAAAAATAAAAAAACAAAAATCGAATCCATTGGACGACTAGTTACGTTTATGTTTTCTCGACGTTTCATGACTTAAAGAGTACGAAAAAATAGGTCTCCGGTTTCCGTCTGTCTGACGGTCTATAAGATAATCTTCGGTTTTTCGTTCTTCCTATTTCTTCGAATTTACAATTTTGATATTGCAATTTCTGTTTTTTAATTTTTTTTAATTTTTCAATTTTACAATTATGCGATATTATAATTTTTCAATTTTTCATTTCCTTAATCTTTCAACTTCTTAATTTTTATTATTCATTTTCCGGATTTTTTAATTTTAGTTTTCTCGATTTTATATAACAACTTTTCGTTTTTCCATTTCCTTAATTTTTTCATTTTTCTTTCGATTTTACAATTTTTCAGATTTTCAATCTTTGTCTTTCCAATTCCTCGATTTTCCAATTTTAATATTTTTCAATTCAGGAAATTTTGGATTTCTTAATTATCCGATTTCCCGATTTTTTTAATTTACATTATTTCGTTTTTTTGATTTTGCACTTTTTCGACTTTTAAGTTTATAAATTTTAATCTCTCAATTATTTCGTTTCTTCAGTTTTTCAAGTTCTTGATTTCCAATTTTTAGGTTTTTCAAAGTTTTCATTTCATACTTGTTCATTTTTTCATTTCGTGATTTTTCAACTTTACAATTTTTCCATTTCTTTGATTCGAAAAGATGAAAAATCAAAAAACTTAAAAAATGAGAAACTTCAAAATCGAACAGTGGAAAATCGAAAAATTGCAAAACCCAAAAATTGTAACATCCGAAAATTATAGAATCGTGAAAATTATAAAATCGAAAAACTGTAACACAGATGGAAGATAGAAAAATTTTCAATATCGGAAAACTGAAAATTTTATAGGGTACAACGATATTTCCTAAACTATACATCACTGAATGTTGAAATACGTGGTTGGCGAAACGCGTCGATAAATATATTGTGTTGTTTCGGCGTTGTGGGAGTAAACGTTCTATAAAATACAAAATGTTCGAAAAATTATAAAATTTAATTTTGCGAAATTTATTTTTACTTCCTCAGCGTAAGCAAAGAAAGTATTGTAATTAAGTCTATTGGAGGGCGACTGGCTACTTTTATGTTTTCTCGACATTGCATGACCCATAAGGTATGAAAAATTAGGTCTCCTGATTCAGTCTGACTACCCTCTGTTCAAATTTTTATTATGCAGATAATCTCTAAAACTACCGGACCGATTGTATTTTATATAACATAACATGACATAAATTTTATAAAATATCCTACTCTTGTATTTGTTTTATTGTT